CTGGGTCCTCGTATTTTGTTGATACCTTTCTCAAACTGTTGCATCCAGAACTGGACACAGTAGTGCAGATGGTAGCTAACTACAGCAGAATAGTATAACCTATTACTTTCCTTTAACTAGACACTACATTTCAGTTGATGTGGCCTGGAATTGTATTAGTTTTTGCTACTGCATTTTACTGTTGACACATTTAGCTTGTGACCTATTAAAACTCCTCCATCTTTTTCTACATGTATTTCTTCCAAGCTATATTCCCCAGTCTTATATTTGTGCATCTGATTATTATGTTTATCTTTGCTGGAACTTGTTTTGTTTTGGCCCAGTTCTCCAAACTGTTGAGGTCAATTATCTCCTGATGCACTGACACTACGGCCCAGTCTGGTGTCAGGTCCAGTTTTGAAAAGCATCCCTTCTACCCCTTTATCCAAGTCATTTATAAATAGATCAGAATCCTGTAACATTCCACTTATCACTTCTCGTGAAGATGACCAGGAACACAAATGCGCACTCTATGGATATGGATAAAATCCATCTAATAGTTGTAGTGTTTAGCCCACATTTTATCAGCTTGTCCATATAGGGATCTTGCTGAAAGCCTTGCTTACTTCTAAATATATTGCATCAACATCACTCCTTGATCTACCAAGCTTAGAACTCTAACTAATGTAATTTGGCCTCACTCTTTCCATTCCTCTCACCCCAGGTGGAGAGCAACACGTTTACTCTCTTTTCTTTTCCTCAGTCTTTTAACCCTTTGAAGAGTCTGGGATCCCTGCAGAAGGAAGGATGATTTGGGACAAATAGCCTAATTGTGGTCAGGCCATATCTCTTGATGGAAGGCTTCTCCAGGTATCCCAAGTGGCTTTTATCAGTACTGTAGGTCATGGGAATTATTCCAGTTAATAATCAGAAGAGCCTGGAGTCAAGATCCCTATAATATCTATGCCAATTTACAGCTGTGTAGTCTCATAGTATTGAAGCTAGGGTAGAAATACCCACATGGATACATATAATCTTTCATTGTTGAAGGTAATAGAAATTAATATAGTTTTTGGGAGAGAAAAAAGCAGTTTTCCATTTGTTCTTCTGCAGTTTTGGGGGGATGGGGGATGTATGGCTCACTTCCAAAATATCATATTTTACTTTTAAGTTATTCTGAACTAGTCACATTTTGCAACTTCAATTAACAACTGTAGCTTATTGTAATAAATCTTAGGACCTGTTTATTGCCTTATTATATTTTATAGTATGCAACTATAATAACTTTCTGACAAATAGCATTAAACACAATTCCAGTGATACTAATAGTGTGATTTGAACCCTGCAGAACAGAATGTATCGGGGGATCTAAATGTCCTCACACATAACATTAAAATTAATATAAGATACTGTGGTTCTGATCTTTCAAGGATACATGAATAATTTTATGTACATTGATATTTTCCTTGAGCAAGGTGTGGAATCTTCTCTGCAACTGTTCTTTGAAATGCTGTTAATCCAAAAAATAGACAACTGATGACTATAAGAGGGCTATGCTGGATCAGACCCAAGACCTACCTAGTCCAGCATTTTTTTTTTCAGTTTCTGACCAACTGCCTGTTTGGAAAGCCCACAAGTAATACCCTCCCTTGTGTACCTCCACACAACTAATATGTACAGAAATACTGCTCGCTGTTGCATTGTATGCCACTCACTCATAGAACCACATGACTCTGGATCCACAGTTGGAAGGAAAAAACAACAAAACACCATAGCTGACACTGGTCCGAGTCAGATTTGACTTATGGTAGCTGGTAGCTTTTACTGTGAGGGCTCCATAGTTATAAAACCATCATGGCTGCATTAAGGGGAGGGTGGGTCAGATTCCCCTCCCACCCCAAAAAAGCAGAACACGAGTTTGAAGCATTATTGCAATGGTCTCAAACACATTTCTGGCGGTGTAATGAAATAAGACAGTAGTGAAATCCTGTTTCACTATTTCAACATGCTTCTGCATCTCTCTTCCTCTCTCATTTACACAAAGGAGAATTAAGCTCCAAAATTGCTGTGTAAGTTGTTTTTCAAGTTACTTTTAAAAACTCAAAGGAGCCAGATCACTTAGATCAGCACTTTCTTGAATCGTTTCCATCTAAATTAATGAAACTCAGTGCCATTATCTGATTCTAACCTGCCTCCAAGATGTTACAAACCTAAGCTAGTCCTGTAGAATGTTTGGCAATGTCTCCTTTTGGAGAGAATTTCAAATGAATCTATTCTAATAGTAATAATAGTAAATAGTAATAGTAGTCTCAAATCAATTCAGATTTATGGAGACCAAGAATGTTTGGCAATGTCTCCTTTTGGAGATAATTTTAAATGAATCTATTCTACTAATAGTAGTAGTAGTAAATATTAATAGTAGTCTCAAATCAATTCTGATTTATGGAGACCATCTTCAGAGTTTCTCAGGTAGAGAATACTCAAAAGTGGTTTGCCATTCCCTTCTTCTGGTGTGCCCTGGAACAGGCTGGCAGTCTACTTGCAGGAGGCATAGGGGGGAATCAAAATCCCAGCCTCTGGCTCTGCAGCCAGATATCTAAACCACTGATAGCAATACATTAAGAACCCAAACAATTTTGGTGATTTGGACATATTTGCCCAGAAGCAGAGACATATAAATAAAATATTAATATAGAATTCTCTGCAGCCAGATACCTAAACCACTGATAGCAATTAAGAACCCAAACAATTTTGATGATTTGGACATATTTGCCCAGAAGCAGAGACATATAAATAAAATATTAATATAGAATTTAGCAGTAGGCATCCTTCAGTCTCGAGAGACTATGGTAGTGTGCTCTGTGTGGAGGACTTGGAACAGCATCTAGTGTGGCTGAGAAGGCCAATTCGAGAGTGATGATCCCTTCCACACTGAAGACAAATACAATCTGTCCCGTCCAGCTCCCTAATTTTGCTGGTTTCGGGACTGCTTGCCTCGGCCTGCTGGACAAGTGTCTCTTCAAATTGGGAGAGGCCATGATGCACCGCCTGCCTCCAGGCTGAACGCTCAGACGTCAAGGTTTCCCATCTGTTATTTATTTACGGTAATTAATTTATATCCCGCCTATCTGGTCGGTTAAGACCATTCCTAAGGCCTTCAGATCCCACTTGTAGATATCCTTGTATCACAGCTGTGGTCTCCCTCTGGGGCACTTTCCCTGCACTAATTCTCCATACAGGAGATCTGTATGGATCTTCTGCCCTTTCCTGAAGAGGAAGCTGAGGCAGGAAGGAGCTGTGCTTGGGGGACATTTTATTTGGTGAGGTCTTTTCTCCTAGGCTGAACTTTGTACTCCCTGACCTCATTGTAGGAGGGGGCAAGGTTTTGGCTTTAAATTGGTGCCAGCAGAAGCACGCACCTAACGGAGCATTTTATTTGGTGAGGTCTTTTCTGCTAGGCTGAACTTTGTACTCCCTGACCTCATTGTATGAGGGGGCAGGATTTGGGCTTTAAATTAGTGCCAGCAGAAGCACGCACCTAACAGCGCGCTCTATTTTTGACTCTCATCTGCTAAATAGGAAAGCCAAATAGCATTGCATACACCTGGGAAGCAGGGATGTTTTAGGAATGGGATCATATTTCCACAGGATTAGGGAGCAGGTCGGGTAGGTGGGGCTCGTCAGCCTTGGAAGGCAGCCTATCTAGGAGAAGGAAAACTTCAATTTCAAACCTCCATTGCCTTGTAGCTATATCCACTGACTCTAGGAGAAGGAAAAGATAACCTTGAGGCAAAATCCAGAGCCGGAGTCCCGGAGGCAGTTTGTGTCATTCTGGCAACTCCTGCGACATTGCTGGAACCAGTTGAATTGGCCCTTGCCTTTCCATTGGACTATTTCAGTGACATGAAGAGGGTGGATTTGCATTGGACTATTTCAGTGACATAGAGAGGGTGAATTTGTTGTTCGGTAACAGCCTATCCTCCATATTATTTTACCCAGGCTTCGTGCTTTGGAGAGGACATTCCAGCTTCACATATAGTGTCGAAAATAAAATATAAAGACGTAAATTTTACATGAATAAGTTTGTGAGGATCTTCTCCATATATCTACATAATTTCCCATTTAGAGTTCATAATTTCATTACCAGAGACCATCACAAATGGCAAGAAAACAAGCTAGATCCAGATGTGCTAGCAGATGAAATGGTGGTGTTCTATAAAGAGATGTAGAATTTGCATTAGAAAACATTGCACCATGCTAACATTTCATAAACAACATCGACATAGTAGAATCATGCAATGTGCAATGCTTTACAAGAGCTAAAACACAGTTCGCTTTGCTTTTGTACTAAGAGAAAGTTCTTTTACTCACAGAAGGACCTTTGTGCTCATGGAAGGACAATTTACTTTTGGATTAAGCTCAATACACTGCACTAGTTATAGCTACCTTGGATATGCTTCGGATGGGACACTAGAATTCTTCCATTAACTTATGAAGTAAGCATGCCTCTAACTGGATCTACAACAACTGGGTGGATAAGACAGAACCTCTGAAGATGTGGGCCATTTCCCATAATTTGCAGCTGATCTACACAACCTGGCAGTAATGCAGTATTTTTCAAGTTTTTCCAGACTTGTATTGTAAATGAACCACTGCACTACTGGTAGAAGGCTATGTTTATTTGTGAAAGTTGGGTATTTTTCTTCAATTTCACAATATTTCTGCCAGCAGAAAGTCTGATAATCAAGTAAAATAAAGTAACTGTAATTCTGTGATGAGGATCAATTAAAAAAGAAAATGCTTACAAAATAACCCCAAAGATAACGTACAAATATAGTTATCTATATTGAGCTCAGCCCCCTTAGTGTGTTTTAGCACAATACTGTGAAAACTCATTTGCATCATGACTGTTTTTGAAGTAAACATAAAAAAATACAAAGTTTTAAAGGCAGCCAAGGTAGAAGAAGGCTAAACAAAAGTGTTTATATTTAATGGGAATAAAAGAGCTTTAGATCACAGAATCTCAGGATTGTATCTTTAATACAATAACTGTAAAAAGTACATTTCAGGGACAAATACAAAACAAAACAGTCAAAATCTAAATAGCTTTCCTCTCTCTTGCCCATAAGTTTAAGCTGTATAGCAATATCCACAAGAGATGTTATAGGAAAAATTGCGTATCACTCAAGTTAGGCAGCTTTCTTATTGACATAGTTCTCTGAATAATACTTGTATTCAATATAAATTGAATTGATCATATTATAGAAAATACTCAAAGACATAATCCTTGTATTTATAAGACCCATTTAAAAATAATTCAAAACCTGCTTCCATCTTAAACAGGCCATGGATTTCCATTTTATAGGAAATACTGTGTCGCTTTGTCATCAACGAGAAACGAACTCTATATTCACATTACATTTTTGCAGCAACAGTACAACAGTCATTTGCAAGAAATGTCCATCTCAGTGTTGAAAAAGGGCAGACACATTACTATTCCCACTTAAAATAAATATTTCCCTGTATTAAAAGGTGGACTTTGTGTATACAAATACTGTGCAGAAACCTTCTAAGACAATTAGCAAGGTCAGTTATTCCAAAAATTTCAGAAAGTGGGAAGAAATTATAATTGAGCATCCCAGACCCTGATTATTTCACAAATATGAGTTGAAACAACAATGAAGTAGTACAAAGCTATCACTCACAGTCACCAAGTTTTAAATGGAATAACAATTCTTATATTATGATTTATGCATTCAGAGTTAATTAGAGGTTAATGAAGGGTCCTAATCTAAAGACCTAATAATCAAATGGAAAGTGGAACTCTTCATTATTAATTCAGAAGTCCCCTTCACCCAGAACAGAATTTGTAAATAAACAATCAGGAATCACTGCTATGCTAATCAGCAGTAAAAAAACCCTACTTTTAACAGGCATTTCCCTCTTAACCCTACTTACAGCAAAGTAACAGTATGAACCCTGATCATAATGAATATTTTTATTAGTAGTAGTATTATTTGAAGCTTCTTTGGAAAAAAAAAAATCAGCCCAGGAAAAAAAACCCTACTTTTAACAGGCATTTCCCTCTTAACCCTACTTACAGCAAAGTAACAGTATGAACCCTGATCATAATGAATATTTTTATTAGTAGTAGTATTATTTGAAGCTTCTTTGGAAAAAAAAAAGAATCAGCCCAGGTGTTCCTTTTTAACAAAATCATCCCTAAAATATTTGTATAATGTATGCCTGTAGTGGCATGAGGATTTTAGCTCCTATCCCTTTAGCTTGTCCCACATACCTTGTTGATGCCCTGTTCTTATATACCTTCAAAATTTGTTCCACAGGGAAAAAATACTGTTCATACATGGATTCTAAAACATACACTTTCTGCCCCCAAATTAAGCGTTTAAAAAACCCCTGGAAACAGTCGATATGGTACCACATCAGTATACGATTTCCAGTTCTTGCCATACTTGCTAGAGCATCTGTCTTCATCTCGGATGCAGCGATGAACCAGAAGAATTGTCATGTAAATGATGTAAAAATAAGGCAAGATGTGGTCAAAACCACAAGATAGGCAGTATGCCAGGGAGCCAATCAGGTCTCCTGTATAGTTAAAATGGCGGGCCACCCCCCAGAACCCTGAAGTTAGCAGTTTAGTGTAGTGCTTTGTCCCATCTGCTGATGTATAGGAGCATTCAATGTATTTTGGCTTCTTGCCCCATATTTTGCAATTGCCATCAGTGTGACGAAAGAGATCTTTCTGATGATTTGTCATTCTGAAGATATAGTAGCCCACCAGACCCAAAAGTAGAAGCAGAACTGCATTACCAGTGGGAAGCTGAATGGGGTGGTAGACCAAGTATAGTCCCTAAGGAAAGAAATGAGTGTGGGGGAGAGGAGAAATCCTGTCAGTAAGTATTCACATTTGATCAACACCTTTCATTTTTTCCCCCCTTTAGCAGAGCCCAAACTTAATAGCGGATCTGTCATCTGACAGAGCAGGGGACAATCTTAATGCTGTTGTCTAAAAGCATAAAATAGTTCACTTGACTCAGACATACAAAAAGTCACTCTGCATTGAAAATTTGTATTGGGCATCAGTAGCTTAGTCAGCAGTAGGAAGACCAAGGTTCAGATTCCCACACAACCATGACAATCATAGCATGAATTCTTTCTTGCCAACCTCACAGGAATGTTGTAAGGGTAAAACAGCAGTCAGAAAACTGCCTGTCACATTAGAAGCATTAGATCTCCACTTATTATTCAGCAAAGAACAAAAGTATTCTGAAAATATACATTTGGTTTGGGATGTTAGGCATCACACAACATACCTAAAATAGTCCAGAAAGACTTGAACAAGATCTGTGTGGTAGATCAATATTGCCACTGCTGTGACCATGGCTTCTAGATATTATTGAATGCTGCATCGTAAGAGAATATGTGCTTATAAAACTACCTGCAAAGTGTAGAGGTAAGGAAGCCAAACACAGTCTCCCCATCCAAGGTACCATCCAAAATGATCATGGCAAATGTCAATGGTTTTCAAATACCAGGTTTCATTCCAGAAGAAGTCCAAAACATAGATAGCCTAAAAAGAACACACTGTCAGATATCACTGCACCTAATCACAGATAGGCCATTTTCTGATAACACAAAAGTTCAACTCTATCCAGATGGACTGTAGTGGCAACCAGCATCCTTTGGATTATTTCCGTTCCCTACAATTACAATAGGTCTGAACCATTATTATCTCTAAACACAGGATGTCCCTGTATCTGATGAACTACAATGTTGACTGGTTAATAAATGAATAACCTTTATTGTCAATGCACAACATGTGTGCAGTGAAATTAAATGAGCCTCCATTGGTACAACCACACAAAGCACAAAAAACACAGAATACATTCAGACACAGAAGGCATCCCCATTCCCACTACAGAAACATTCCCTACTACATTCCCTATCCATTCAGAATTATACATATAGCAAGTGAGGAATGCTTGGCTTTTCAGAGATTCTGACCTATAACTTCTAATAGACCGAGATAGTGTTGATTTAGAGCCAAACACCCAGAAGGCCAAACTTTCTTTCTTGACTGTTGCAAGTGTAGACAAGCATGTGACACACTTGCCACCAATTCTACCAACCATTCTGCCACCATCACTCTGTAAGATGGATAAAGAATAGCACCCTGAACAAGGGACAAGCCCATAGCAGAGGGTTCCCCAGATCTCAATGGTTCTCATCCCCAATTGAGCAAAGGCCACAGGAGATAAGGTGTAAAACTGTAGGAAGGAATGAGAACAAACATATGGAGCCACAGCCCATTATTGCAAAATTCAATCACACCTACATATACATCTAGATAAAGTCTGCATTTTGTTCTATGAAGCTTTGCCAGCTTTAATGTTAAGAGCATTTAAGATTAACCAAGATACTAAAGGGTGTGCTTACCTGTAGGACATTGACAAGGATCATAGAGTTAGTTACTTGTCCATGTAATTCCTGCTGTTTTGCTGCATAAGAGAGATTAATTAGGGTCCAGGCTACAATGCCTGGACGACCATTGAAAAACAGTTTGAAATCAAACCATTTTCCTAAACGAGGATTAAATTCAATCCCCATCATGAAGTCATAGAAGAAGTTACCGGTGAATTTGCTGAAACAATATACAAGAATGAATGAACAAATGAATGACTGAATCGCAGAATATATGATCAATTTAAAAACATATGTAGTTGAAGGAAATTTCATCCAGGAATTCACAGTCTGATGCAAAGGCATAATAATAAATCACAAATGCCATACTAGTTTTTCTACACCTGTGGCCTCAAGGAGCTAAAAACAAGTAAAGCAATAATTCTTTAATGTTTTAGCTGCCTTTAGCTTCTGTGAAGCATAGAATATAGATTTTTACTAATATTGTTATTGTTTCAATCAGAAAAAGAAATGCAGTACTCATCAAATATGTCAATATCACACATACGATATAATCAAGACCAACGTACCGATCTTTTGCATTAGTGGGGAAAAGGTAGGCTTTTATCATTACAAATATGGATACTGCATAGCCTAGGATATTTGCACACCACAGAAGTGGAATCCAGTTGTCAAAAATTATGGTGGGTGAGAACCAGTGGAAAACATAAGCATTTGTAAACCAGAGTGCGTGTGTGATAAGCCAGGCTTGAAGTCCGTTTATTTCGTATTTGAGCACCAAGCCTGAAATGGAAGAGGGTTACAAGATTCAGTGAGAAAGACAGCATGGCATCTTTGTGACTTGCACATAGTTACGAATGTAAGAATTATTGTTCTTGTTTGCTGACAGCATGACACATATTTTCATGGAGAAGATTAGGAGTGGGAGACTTCCTCCTTTATCCTACCTAGCCTATTTTTTGTACTTGCTTTAAATGCACCCTGAAGAGGACTGTTTTCATCCACTATGCCATTCTATGTCAACAGCAATGTTAATACAAATTCTTGTGCTTATATATTATTTGTCTTTAAAAACAACAACAACCCAGTAACATACACCATGGTTTAGACAGATTTGATAAAGGGGGAACTCATTTCTCTAGGCTTTAAAACCTTGGGGAAGAAAACAGAAAAGCAGGAGACAAACAAAAGTGACAAGAGATTAACATGACTAAATTAGCTGCTACACAGACATAAACTATACGGCCAAACAAGTTAAGGCAAGGTTCTCGGAGGGTTTAAAAAAGGATCTGAAGAACAGAAAACAGACATAATGTTACATATTTGTTTTGAGAAAGATCCCCAGATATAAGAGCATGGAGAAATGAATCTTCAAGACAGGAAGGAAAGTCTAACTGGACAGGGCAAGCGTATCCCTGTTCTAGATCAGTGTCTAGTATCAGTAATGGACTGGATAAGGGTGAATAAACTGAAACAATCTAGAAAAGATAGAGAGGTGCTCCTGGTCAGCTGAAAGGCAGATCAAGGAATAGGGGTGCAGCTTGTACTGAATGGGGTTACATGCCCTCTGAAAACACAGGTAGACAGCTTGGGAGCACTCTTGTATTTGTCTCTGAGCCTGGATGCCCAAGTTTCAGCAGTGGCCAGGAGCACATAATTAAAACTAGCGTGCCAGATGCACGGATTCCTGGAGAGGTCTGATTTGGCCATGGTGACACATACCTTAGTTGCATCCTGGCTGAATTACTTTAATGTGCTTTACCTACGGCTGTATCTGGAAAGTGTCTGGAAACATCAGTGGGTCCAAAATGCAGCATTCAGATTGTAAATGGGGCTGGTCACAGGGATAATGGAATGCCTGTGTTACAGCAGCTCCACTGGTGCTGATCTGTTTCTGGGCACAGTTCAAAATGCTTTTTTTACAACCTATAAAGCCCTATGTGGCTTGGCTCCAAGCTATCTTGAGGATTGCATCCGCCTTTATAAAAGGGCTCGGGTGTTAAGTTCATCTGGAGAGGCCTTTCTCTCAGTCTTCACAGGTTTGTTTGGTGGGGACACAGAAGTGGGCCTTCTCTGTTGCTGCTCCCAGACTTTGGAACCCCCTTTCACAGGAGGCCAGACTGGCCCCATCTTTGCTGTCCTTCCGCAAGCAGGCGATGACCATTCTCTTCAGGTAAGCTTTCCCTCAGTGACCGGCTGCCTAAGTGGGTTCTTAAATGGATTGTTGTGCCTTATTGCTTTAAATGTGTTTTTGGCTCAGAAGACACCTAAAAAATAGTCTCATAAGAAATTCCTTGCCCCTCATCTTTTTTCTCTCAGTAACACCAGAAAGCTTGTCAAGTAAATACAGCCAAGAATAGACTTACCAGAAGGTGTCACAGCACCTTCCTGCAGTCCTCCTCGATAGTAAGGAAGATATTTATGACAAATGTCAGGAAGCATGAACAAAATTATCTGCAAAAAAGAAAGTATGCATCAAATGTAGTTCAAACTCTATCATAAACTAGATCAAATAATTGTGAAGCTTGGGCAATTTTTAATTTGTATCTCCAATTATTTTTAGGAACTTTTAATCAAACCTTTTCTGCAAAATTTCTAGTCTTCACACTTTCAGATCCCATTGTGGACACAAAGGACAACATTCTTTTGTAACTTGGCACCTGATGTGACTTGGATTAGGCACCAGAAACATTTAACACTGATTAAAAACTGTCCCCATTTTAGGTATGTATACTCCCTTGGGTTTCCTTTTCCCCTGGGAAAGTTTTTGGAAGTGTGGGGGGTCTTAAAAGTAAAAAATCAACACTACTGGGATTATGACTGCTGGTACCAATCTGGTGGCTATTTTTGAATTTTAAAGGCTCCTTATTCCCTCATCCCAAGACTCTCAAAGGTTTCCCCAGGACAAAAGGGAGCCCAAAGGAGACTCCAGACCTTAAATGGAGAAATAGAAAGCTTTTAATTAGTGTAAATTAATGTTTACGGCACCCAGTGCAAATTGCACTGGGCATAAATTTAGACAACAGAATTTTGCCCAATAGTAGCTTCTGCTGCTGAGCAAACTTTTTAAAAACACACAAAAATGATATTAGAAGATGTACAACAATAAACACTTTTCCCTGCTATCAATGGTGCGACTGAGTATTAATATATGACTGGCATAGATATAAAAAAATATAGCTAGCTAAGGACTTTTTATACAGTAAGACTTATTCAAAATCACTATGTGGATGTATAAATATGTAAGTAATCTACCCAAGTACTCAGTCATTGTTGCTCAGTGAGGGTGGTGAACATGAAAGTAATGTAGGTGTGCTTTAAGCTCATGGGGGGTATAGGAAGTTGGGGTGTCAGCAGCTCCTAAGAATATTCTGTAAAAAGTGAATTCAGTAGAAAGATCTGGATGGCAAGCAAAAGAGTCACATCAGTTTAAAATCATAGTTAAAACTGATAACATCTAACAACTATTCACTGTAATAATTAAACAGAGCTGGAATACGAGAACTAATTTTAAGGTTGAATTGGGGTTTGAAGACTGTTTACAATGATGGAAGATGAGTAGAGTTAGGAACAGACCTAGAGATGAGCACAAATTGCTAGTTTGGTGCAGGTCGTTTCCTGACAAGCAGCTGATCTGTGGTTGTTGTGGGTTTTTTGGGCTCTTTGGCTGTGTTCTGAAGGTTGTTCTTCCTAACGTTTCACCAGTCTCTGTGGCCGGCGTCTTCAGAGGATGCCGACCACAGAGACTGGCGAAATGTTAGGAAGAACAATCTTCAGAACGAAAAGAGCCCAAAACCCCACAACCACCATTAGATCCCAGCCGTGAAAGCCTTTGCGAATACAAGCTGATGTGTGGCTCAGTGCCTCCTTCTCCAACAGGTGCTTGGAGGAGGCGGGGTGCCAGACCTTGGACCATTTGTTTCATTGGGGAACAAACCGTGTTGACCTGCTGAATCAGTCATTTGTGCCCATCTCTAAACACAACCTATATACTCAGGTCTCCAATATGTGAGAGCTTTGAATGTAACTTTAAATACTTGTCCTGCAAACAGCAATGCTTCATTTTTTTGCTCGCTGTTAGATTGCTCATACCCTATTAGATTCCAACAGAAAGCATCAGAACACATACCTGGAAAACAACCCAAGAAGTATAAATAGTCGCTGCTTTCCAGGTCAATGATGGTGTTTTGTTCCAGATATCCACGAGAGTGACTTTGCTTGTGAGCAAGTCAATGGCTGGTTTAGTTAGTGAGCAATTGAACTGATCACATGACATTATAAAATAATACACAATGAAGGGAGTAAACAGGAGTAGAAAAATAACACTTGCCAAGGAAAACCAGTCAATTTTCCTAAAACACAGAGAAACAAAGATCATCACATAATGCAAACACTGAATTGCTATAACAAGGTACTGTGACCATGATCCAGTTCAAACATAACAATAAAAGACAGATTGCAATTACTGTATGTGCATAAACCTTGGGCTTATACACTCCTCTCTCCTCCAGTGTAACCATGATTGAGATAAATCACAAATGTGGAAAGGTAGCCCACAGGCAGGTAAACAAGCAGCTGTCTGTAATATTCAACATCTGACATTCATGTGCCCACTCTCCTCTTTATTAATATCTTAAACATGATAGTGGGTTTAGCACTCATCCTTGGTCTTTGATACTGACAAGTTAACAAATCTACAGCACTGAACTTGGAGACACTTTTGCTTAACTGAATGATGCCAGTTGGCCCTAGATCAAAAGAGCAGTAATATTCAAAGTACATGACATCCACACACCATTAAGTAAGCTTTAATAATATCCAGGTACTGTATGAACAGAGGATTTGTTTGGGTGAGAACATGAGAAAGAGCTTTATTAGTGGCTGCTCCCAGGACTTGGAATGCACAGCCAAGCAAAGACTTTTATTTTCAGACAGACTTTTAAGTGTTAAGTGGGAATCTCAGGAATGCTTATTTATTAAATTTAGAAGTTTTTTAATGTTTTAAAATGTTTTAATATTGATTAGGTCAGACCTAGCCATGTTAAGGTCTGATTTGATGGTGCTTTCCTGTAGGCAAACATTTTCTACCACAGCTAAAGGTAGAACCCTCTTACCAAGCTCTACCCCACTGTCCTTGAGAAGTTCCGGTTCCATTTGTGAGATTTTTACTTCCTCCTCCTTTAGAAAATTGTGTTTCTTTACCAGCCATCATTGTAGCCTGCAGTGGAAGAGATGACACCAAAAAATTAAAGCAATACATTTAATTTATTAAATTAAATCATATAAATATATGTGCATTTTTTAAAATAACCTACTATTCTTCCAATGAACATGGGCAACTGGGGCAGGAGTTGGAATTTACTGACATGGCAGTTCCTGGGCATGGAGAAAGCCTATTATATGTTTTCTACATTGTTACACTTTTGGAATAATACAAATTAGAGGCTTGTTCTGGACAATGGACATCGTAATAAGCTTATTATATTGAACTATGAAATGACTCTGCTGAACTAACAGATCTCTATTAGACAGTCTACATCACCACTCTCTCAGAAACACAGGAAGCTGCCTTATATCAGATTACTCTACTCATCCACCTGAGCCAACATGATCAGACTCTGGTTGGCAGTGGCTCTCTAGGGTTTCAGGTAGAATTTCTTCCTGGAACTACCTGGAGATCATCGGTGCCCTCTGATGGTCTCCCATCTAACTACCAATCATGCCTGATCTGTTCAGCTTCTGAAACTGGACAAGATCAGGATAGTATAGTGCATTATTGAGAGATCTGGCACCCTTCATGCTACCTGGATCCTGCTGCACATGAGAGCAGCTTCTCTATTGCTCGAGCTATGAAGCCATCAGATGGGGGATGACACTGCAGTCAATCGCCTGTGCTTAGGTGACCATGACATCCTGAACTTGGTAATTTAGTCTAGTATCTTCTGTGTCTTTCATACTTCCTGTTTCCACTGTTTTGGGTGCGAGAAGGTGAGAGTGCCTCGAGAGGAGGCTGATTACAGGCGTAGAAGGGCTTTGCCCCCTAAACCGTCTTATTGGGGGGAATCCAAGGCCAGAGAGTGGCGGAGACGATTGAGGGAAGAAAAGGAGGCGGTTGAAAGAGAGGAGAGAGAAAGAAGAGCATGACGTCTGGAGGAGGCTCGCCGGCGGAGGTATTTACCGACCCTGGGACCCCTATGCAGAGGGAAACAACCCCTATGACCAGGAGAGGGGACATGGAGAGATACTACCCTTGATTGACGTGGACATTGATACTAAGGACCTGGGTGAGACTAACCCGTTCTCTAAAGGACCCTGGTATGACCCAAGTTACAATCCCTTTTTACAAGATTTACGGACACCCTCGTTTGACCCGTTGGCGATGAGAGAAAAGAACAATTACAAGTTTAATGTTGACACTTCTTTATTTGATGTTCCAATAAACCCCAGTTCTGTTTTTTCAAAAAACTGAACATCCTGTATTTGTGTCCAACCAGCCTGAGGTTACTTTCGAACCCTCACACCTCCCAGATGCACACACCCCTGTCTACCCACATGGACGCACCTCCCCTGCGGTGAAAGGCACAGGACGGATACAATGGCAAGGTGGGCCAGATGTGGCCCACAGACCATAGTTTGGAGATCCCTAGTTTAGGGGCATCCTGAGACTGTGCAGCTTGCTCATGACAACACATGCTGGGTCTTATTGCCGGAGGCACAGTGGGGAATCAAATTCCCAATCTTTGGCTCTGCAGCCAGATACCAAAAACCATTCAGCTATACATCCATCTCTAAGACACTCTAAAAGGCTTTTTGACTAAAGAGTGAACAGCTTTAAATGAAGGAAATGAAATAGCTTGCAGAATACCCAAATTGCTGATTAAGTGAAGTGGAAAAAATTAGATTTTATGCAGTATACACCTCCTCCAATTCCAGCGAATGGTGAAAATGCACAATGAACCCCCCTGTATCTATTCATGCAGTACCATACTGCCTATCACAGATTTTATCATATTCAAGATGAAGCTACCAATAACTATAGGATCAATTACTGTACTATGTTTATTTTGTTCTGGCTCATTGCTTGCCTTGACCCTCCCCCCCAAAAAAACTAAAGACAATGGACAAAAGGTCCTTATACACTCAAACACACATACTACTAGAAAACAGGTCTAAAGCCTGAACAAACAACCCCAAGCTTGTACTATTATGATTCTGGTTTCTGATACATTTAATGGTTTATTAAGTTTAGTTGTTTCTGTCTTAACACGGCTAAGCATTGTAGCTGCACAAAGCAATGTTGATGTAACAGTGCTTCTAGTTAACACTACTACTATTGCTGTAAAAGGAATTTGGCAGAATTTTTACATTTCTTGCTTTTAAAAGAAGAAATTAGAATATTTGGATGCAATCTTGAGCATAAGGTTCATGGAAAGAAGTTATCTATTTATCTGAGGGCAGTCCCCTGAGAAAGAACATACCGTATTTTTCGCTCCATAAGATGCACCTCTCCACAAGACGCACCAAATTTTTAGGAGAAGAAAACAGGAAAAAAATAATTTGTTTTCTTCTCCTAAAAATTGGTGAGCTTTATGGAGAGGTCCATCTTATGGAACACACCCTAGGACCCTTAGGAGGCTCACCCTGCCCCCCCGGGGGTCAGAGGGGGTGAAATTGCGAGCTTCTGGGACTCTTCTGAAGCTTCCCAAGCCTCAAGAGAGTCCCAGAAGGTGGCAATTTTGCCCCTTATGGCCCGGCGGGGAGGGGGGAAGGGTGAGTCTCTAAAGAGTCCTGGAACACACGCTAGGACCCTTTTGAGACTCACCCTGCCCCCCAGGCGTCAGAGGGGGTGAAATCACCACCTTCTGGGACTTGAGGCTTGGGAAGCTTCAGAAGAGTCCCAGAAGCTGGCGATTTCCCCCCCCCTCTGGCCCAGCGGGGGGGCAGGGGGAGTCTCTAAAGGGTCCTGTAACACAC